TCAATGCAAAATCCGCTTGAAACAAGAGTTCAAGACTCTTAAATCCGGCGGCAAGAAATTGCACACTTAAGTCAATGCACCGCGGCATTGGTCCAAGAGGTTTTTTTTACCTGTGATGCACACAACAAAAATTACCGAAATCAACTCCTTCCAAAGATATTTAATGATTCTTGATGCGTGAATTCAAACCACCCGCTCATGAAAACCCAATGCTCTATGTGATTCACATCGCGCGCTAAACGTTATCATGACAGTCTCTACGATATACAAATCTGGCAACCTCAATCTTGACGCTTTGGCTCAGCTACAGCAAATTGCTTATAGTTTGAACAACACTTGGTGGGACATGAACATCGCTCGACTGAGAAGCTTGCTGAAACCGTTGTATTGCACGATTTGATTCACGTAGAGCTTTGAGTTTCTTGTGAGCGGGCAGTTCAAATTCCTCGTAACCAGTGTGAAATAAAAACGTTAATATCTTCGTTAGGAGTTGGTTTAAGTAATTTATTTGTGCGAATCGTGCTCTACGTGAAATTCTGACTAGGAAACATGTATCAGAATGCTTAAATTCGTACCTTGTCTAGTGGTCCATTTTTAACCACATCCTGAACAAGTTGTCCTAGTGGCTAAGGAAGGACGCCGTATGAACCCTTAGGCGTTGTCAAATTCCTTATTCGTAAACACGGACATTTTAACCGAGACAGGATCTGCTATAGATGCAATAATTTTTGGATCCAATTCCAGTCAGCCGAAGAAAAAAGGATACACTACGAGGATCAATTTGATCAAGCGTCACAAATTAGACGATCCCTGGCAGGGTAAAATCCTGGTTAAGCCGATCGAACACACGGCAGTTCTGCAGAATCACGGCAGCCGGACGGATCTCGACAAAGACCGCGCCATCACAAATCTAATATATTTATTAAAAATGACTCTATTATGCCAATAGAGAACAGAGGGACGGCGAACCGTTTACCGGAACATCCGAGCGAATTTAGACACATAATTGTCCGCCGCCGGGAGGGGTGGTCCCCGAGGGAGCACGTTCTCGAAGGGATCCCGTCGACAAAGGGATGACTCCGAAGACGATTAAAATCACAATGACCGCGGAGGGTGATCCGTAAACGTTATGACTTATGTTTGTCAAAATATCGCACTCTTCGGGGGTTGATGATGCGCTAACTCGGATTCACCCTCCATCCCTGTTCAATCCGAAACCTAATAAGTCTATCTCCATAAGGAAAAACGCAGTATGAACCTTCAGGCGTTGCCAAATCTCCTTTGATAAAATACGAATTTACAGAGAAATGTGTGAATATTTCCCGTACAATTTTTCAGATAATGTCATTCACGGTCAGATCTAAATCATCAGCAAATTTCAAGAGAAAATATTCATAACTTTCCTCAAAAATGACACTTTTGTCGGAAGAAATTTGGCAACTCTCGAATTTTTATACGACGATCTTCCTTAGCACGGCAGATTTCGTATTGAGCCCTGGGCTCTATACTGTCGTGCCTAGGATAAACACCGTATGAACATCTAAATGTTAACTAATTTCCCATTGAGAAACATCAATTATCGTGGAAAGTTATGAATATTTTACCTTAAAATTTTCAGATACCGTAAATTAAATTTCTTGGTACATTTTCTGAAAAATTGAAAGGAAAATCTCCACAAGTTGCTTCGAAAATTTGCATTTTATCGGACGAAATTTGGCAGCGTCTGAAGGCTCATACGGCGTTCTCCCTTAGCACAACAGTATGAAACTCCCTACATTCGGGGCTCATCAAGTGAGGTTTTAACATGCGCCCATTCAGTTTTGTCGCGATTGAAAGCGAAATCCTCGCGCTTGTTTACCGAGGTGCGGCCGACCGCAAACTCATAATTCTCTACACCCCCCCCCCCTTCGAGCCAGGGTGACGGTGACTTTTGGGGCTGCGGTAACCCTTTTCCTTTTTTGGGGATGATTTCGGTGACAGGGCGACGCGTTTAGGAGCGCGGTGCCGCTTGTCTTATTCTTATCTCAATCATCGCCTTTGCCCTTTGTCGTGATGATGACTTTGACGATGACGGTTGGGGAGAGTATGTCTGTCTACGCGTGTCAAAAAAAGCGTTTTGACTTTTTGTATTTAAATCAAATTGGGATTCGATTAAAAAAAGAAAAAAGAAAGAAAAAAACTATCCGTTTATTCGGTGCTCTAGGGAGCCCTCACTGGTAAAAAAAAAACCTCTGGGACCAATGCCGCATTGCATTGACTTAAGAGTGCAGTTTCTTGTCGCCGGATTTAAGAGTCTTGAACTCTTATTTCAAGCGGATTTTGCATTGATTCAAGCGGATTTTGCATTGAAACAAGAGTCCAGACTCTTAAATCCGGTGACAAGAAACGTGCACTCTTGAACCAAGAGGTTTTTTTTTACCAGTGTTTGACGGTTCCTCATTATTTTAATCTGGTACTATACTTGTCACGGAGAAAATTGTTCTGTCGATAGGGGGTCGTTCCTAAATTACATAACGCTCGGGGAAGGGGAGAGGGGGTCGAGGAGAGCAGTACGTCATTTTTGTAACGTTTTAAAGTATCGGGATCTACGTCACTGAAGAGTTCCAGGGGGGGAGGGAGGTGTCAAAAATGGCGAAAAATTGCGTTTCACGATTTAGGGACGACCCTCGATATGAAAAAACGCCAATATCGATCGGACAGAACAATTTTTTGAAAGAAAGTTTTCTTCATCCTTTTTCTTTTTTTAATCAAATCCCAATTCGATTTGAATACAAAAAGTCGAAACGCTTGTTTCTAACCATGAAAGCTTGCGATGTATGACGGTGACAATCAGAGTTTCGCACGTCGAGTTGCATAACCGTTTAAAATTTTCATTTTGTTTCAACTATTTCCCAGCCCAGAGGCTGTTTTTCTTCACAAATTTTAGTTAATAGCACGTGACTACTGCAAAATCACAGTTCAAAAATTTAGAGGTTTAAAAAGCCGGCCTTGTGAGCTTCTAAATTTTTAGCCTTGGTTGCCTACTCATTCGTTTGTGTGTATTAATTCCTCGTCATTTTCCTGACCATACCGTCGCTTTCATCGTATCATCATGATGTTTAACCCGTATACGTCAATAGTATATCGCCAATCAACTAAAGGATACCTATCTTGGATAGTAATTCTTATGAAATTCGTTTTACGTTCTATTGTTTCTACGAAGACTATAAAATGGTAGCAGTAAAACTGACAACATCCGATGGGGTTGTTCACGGTCTACCTGATTATTCCGTCCAAGTGTCCTCTTTCAGATACTCGTGGCGGACTAACAAATTTAATGATGTATCTACTGACATAAACCGTGTCTCCGCGAAATAAGAAATAGCGGAATCGAGCTTTCATCACTTATTTTGCGTCGGTGAGCATCTGCTTTCTTGCCTCGTACTACCGCGTTCGCGGTTCTCAGGATGCGTGCTTTAGATTCGAGCCCAACTCGATCCAAATTTGGGTCTGATTAGAATCAGGACTGGTGAATTTGATCAAATATTAATGACGTCAACCGAACGGGTCCGCCCGAGATCCATCAGAGCCAGTCACGAATCTTGCTGAGTTCTGAGACTCACTCGATTTGACCATCGTTGCCCGGTAGTGCTGAAAACTCAGCACTTTCCCCCATATTTTCAATGCAAAATAGCCAAAATTTACTGCACACTCTGGCAACTTTGGATTTGATAAAGGGTTATCACAGTCTACGTCGGAGCTTTGATCCTTACGCACGGAGAAAAAAAACGTCGTGCATGGGACCCGAAGTTAAGGTCATATGGATCTCTGAAGTTTTCTGATCACGCATCCGAAAACTTGAGGTCGAGCTGCTGAAGTTCGGGTCAGACATGGAGGCACGTCAGTATGTACCAGAGTACTTCAGATGTGTGACCCGAAACTTCAGCAGCTGGACCTCAAGTTTTTAGATACGTGATCCGAAAACTTCAGAGATCCATATGACTTAGTTTTTTTCTCAATGCGCAGTGGCAAAAGCAATAGTTTTCCCCATGTAGGAGGTAGGTAACCTGAGAGCTTAGGAATGGGGGCAACATTTGAACTAAACGGTAAATGTTGAATCTTGGTCTGCATGTTAGTAGGGTCAGTGAATTGAATGTATGTTCCTTTGCTGCAGACCATCAAAAAGCGTTCCGTTTTGATTCAGTTTTGGCGTGAAGTTTGAAATAAATTTCGAGTTTTCCATTCGAATCTGACACTGGAAAAAAAAGTTACTCGGATTCAGAGTCCAGACTCTTAAAAACATTGACAAGAAAAAGTACTCTTGATTCGATCGGATTTTTGCTTGAATCTAAAGGAAATCCGCTTAAATCTAGAAGATTGGCTCTTCGATTTAGGGGAAAATCTGAATGAATCAAAAGTATTTTTTCTTGATACTCCAATATCAGACCAAAATTGACAAGAATGTTCATACATGAGCGTTCTTTAAAAAAAATGACTAAATTCATGCAAAAACTGAGTCAAATATGTGCTTTACTAACGACAGTTCACTGGAAAAAAAACACAATGGATCTAGAGTCCAGACTCTTAAAAACATCGACAAGAAAAAATACTTTTGATTCAATCGGATTTTTGCTTGGATCAAGAACCAAGCCTCTTTTCGGATTTCCTTTTGATTTAAGCAAACATCTGATTGAATCAAGAGTATTTTTTCTTGTCAATGTTATTAAGAGTCTGGCGACTCAAGATCCAAGCGACTTTTTTCCAGTGTATCGGTCCAATCGCTCCCGGCCAATGGAAGATTGGACGAATAAGAGTCGTGCATGAATATATTTCCACTTTTCTTGGTCGTTCATCTGTCGATGCGGGTCTAAGAGAGAGCGAAGCGCCCCCTGCGGGTTGGGCCGCGTAGCGGCCAGGGGGCGTAGCCCCCTAGTATTCGTATATTTGAGCTTTGTTTTTTTGCTTCATCGCTAGCTGACACATTCGGAAAATGACTAATTTTAAACGATGATCTGTTGCAGGTCCGCGGACACGGCGCCCGAAACGGAAGGACAAAACGGCGGAAGAGAAGCGACCCCGGACGGCGTTCAGCCTGGAGCAGCTCTCGCGGCTCAAGACGGAGTTCACGGAGAACAAGTACCTGACGGAGAAACGCCGGCAGGAGCTGGCCAACGAGCTGGGGCTCAACGAGGCGCAAATCAAAATCTGGTTCCAGAACAAGCGGGCCAAAATCAAGAAGGCCCGGGGCACGCGCAACCCTCTCGCCCTCCAGCTCATGGCCCAGGGGTTGTACAACCACAGCACGGTCCAGCTCTCCAAAGAGGAGGAGGAGCACTTGGCCGCCCAGGAGATGGAAATGTGAAACTCTAGCCAAAGATTATGTTTTGTCTTCGATGATTGAAATGCTTGTCGAGCCCGAACCAGTGGTGATTCGTCACAGTTGGCAACACTGTTTTTCCTCCATTTAAATATATGTAGAGTACCTGTATAGCGAGAGTATGGACAGATCGCTTCATGGAGGGCTTAGGGCCCAAAAGTGCAGCCACCCTTCTAACCAACTTCTAACGCACAAAATTTCACTGCCAGTCTGTAGATTCCAATTCTAACGAAGATGGCTAAGAAAGTACATAAATGAGCGTTCTTCCACAAAAATGAGTAAGTTTATGCAAAAACTAAGTCAAATACGTGCTTTATAAACGATGGTTCGTAACAGTTGTATTAATAAATCGCTCTGGATAATTGAAATTCATAGGTTGGCTGCATTTCTGGGCCCTTACTTTATTCGCGGAGGCATCGATGAAGGCCTGATGGATTTTCGGAGTTTCACATCTGTCTATACTCTAATGTATGTAAACAATCGATTCTCGGTGCCGCAGCCTGTCTCGCGCCCAGGGTTAGGCTAGAGTCCCTTTATACTGAGAGTCAAGACAATGTGAATCCATTTCTGATTGGTTCCCGTATTTTAGGCCTTCACTGTGTCACAAACGGGAATAGAGATTACATTCTCACCGATTGCAAATATTATATTCTGGAATGGACCAGGGAATTGCGGGTTCGGCAAGGAACAAACGGAATGAGAGAAGGAACGGAGAAAGGAGTTTGAGAATGAGCCGATCAAAGATTACGAAACACGTTCAATTTCTGTAATCTTTATTCCCGTTTGTGACTCCATGAGGGGTGTTGTCTTGACCTTCAGTATAAAGGGACTCTAGGTTCGGCCAGGTTGGGAAAATGAAATTTTTCCCGGAAATGAATCATGTTGAAAAACAGTTATATTAGCATGTCAGAATAACGTATACAAAATTTGGAGCGCCTAAGTCAACTTTAGACCCCTCCACCTTCGTGATTTAGGCGTAAATTTTGAAAATGCATTTTAAAGGACGAAAAGATGACTTTTCCGGTAGATTTCCCCGAGTTACTGCTCTTCTGGGCGAAAATTTCACGCGTTTTGCCGTATTTTAAGTGGTCGAACGGGGGTGGCAAAATTTCATGAAAAATAAAACCTTGTAATTTCACGTGAAATATCTCATGAGTAATTCATGAGAGATATTGAAAATACCTGTTTCTTTTCATGTTTCACAAAATTTAAAAAATTGTGACTCTTCTATTTTTGTGTGTTTGAGTGTGAGTATTGAATACTCTTACCCGCGACAAATATGAAATATTGCACAGCCTCGTGAACTTTCATAAAATATTTCACTGAAATTTCCAATCTTTCATTTCCTTCTCACGTTTCATGCCACCCTGTTGCACCTAGAATCGAAAAATTAAATGGATTTGAATGGAGTATGATCAGTGACGTCTACTTGCTGAAAACGCCACTGGCCCTATAAGAGGGTTCTTTGTGTAAGATGCTGTCGTTGCTTGGTGCGCTGATTTTTGCGAATGATGGACTTTGACAAAATCCGTATTTATGTATACGACATGTATGAGCTTACAGAACTTTCATGTTAAAGAAGCTCACAGTCAAGTAGCTAATCGGTTCCTCGTGTAAAATTAAACTTTTTTTGCTTAGTATTTTCTGCGCATGCATGTAAATTCTTTTTTATGTCATTCCGTAATATAGAGCTCAAAAACATAACGAATCCCTGAAACATGTCTAGGATCTAAATGTGCGTGAGGAGGAATATGAGTACCTCTCTTAAAATGTGTGCATTCGTATTTTTGCTTGTATGCCAAAGCGACGGCGAACGCATTGGGATAGAATTTCTGTAAAAAAGTATTTAAGAAAATGAGCGTTGGTAAGATCTCTTTCCTGCAGAATAAAGCCAGTACTAGATAAGATGTTTCTGAAATGATTGAAAAAAACTGGGTCTTTTTCATGTGCACCCGCTGATCAAAAAGCGAGATGTGTGAAAACAATGTCTGGGTAATATTTTTGTTATTCCAACTTCAATAAGTTTGAGTTGCAGGATGACCTTAGGCTTCATGACCTGGAAAGAATTAAAACTAGTGTTGTGAAACTGAACAATGAATTCTCCAGTTCTATTTTTTACAAATGGTACTTCAAGATTCCGGATACTTGAACGAATCAATTACTCAATTTACCAAAAATATCCCTTTACATGTTCATGAGCTGCGCCTTTCCACTAGGTACCTATAAGACACTGTCTCCCCACACGTGAAAGTGGTTTTGAAAATCCTAAAATTGAAATCATCGAAAAGAATAAAAATCCCTCTACGTTGGAAGAAATTAACATTAACATGTCAGAATGTTATATAGATATTTTTTTATCCATGCTACTCGTCCATTTAAATGGTTCTATTCATAAGCAAGAGCATTTTCGTACACCTGAGGTTCACTGAAAAAGAAACACTATATTAAAAATATAAAAAACTCGGATATTTTACTGTAACACATTATTTCCTAATGTCATTCCATCCTTTCCAGATCACGACACAGAAAGCCGTCTTTTTCGTTCACAAAATCTAGTCAGATTTATTAAGTTAAAACATGAAGCTTTCATTTTTATTGTAGCATTACATACATATGAGTCGCTTTTACAGCGCTCTTCGGCGCTCTGCGACGCCCAATCGCCACAAAGCTCGGTGCGTCTTAAATGTTTCTTTTTTTTTTTCAGTTTCGTAAAAATTTAATGCTACAAAGCACCGAGCTTTGTAGCATTAAATTTTACGAAACTGAAAAAAAAGAAGCATTTAAGACGCACCAAGTGATCAATCTTCGTATAGATTTTTCTTTACAATTTTACATACCATGCTCCCAAAGATGAATTAGTTATTCGGTCCAAATTATTAAACGTATGTATGCTCTACGATTATTGAAATCAAATTCTAAAGTATGTGAAGAAATGGGTTTAAAAACGAAAGAAGCGCTTAATAATTTCATTTTGATATTTCTGACCAGTACCATTACCGATAGGAAATTCATAATGGTCCTTGTCAAAGATCGACCACTAAAGTCACAAAATGCGGATCGTCAATTGTGATGTTGTAAATATCCACGAGTGTTTCGTTCTTTTTACGAGTAGAAGGTAATCAAAAAACAGTTTTCTTGAAACATTTTGCAAATGTCACGACTCACTAAAATGTATTCAAGGAATTTCCGGTTACTTTTCTTTCAAAGAAATTAAACATAATTGAGGATTTTTAAACTTGCGAAAGAGATACGTATTTTTCGACTCTTATCGTCGATATGACAAATTAGTGTTATAATTTTCACTGAGTGTATATACGTATAAATAGTTCCCTCAAATATTTGTTGTTGCGAGTATCATTCATTCCTTTCACTTGTTATACAATGTGACTTTTAACTGATTAATTAAGCTTATTTAACTCGCCTATTACTTTGGCGAGGCTGATTTGTATAATTTTTCGTATTTTATGTATTTATGTAATGTAATTTTGATAGCTGTTGAAAGAATAAAATATTCAATCGGATATTCCAGCTTGAGTTTTTTTACTATTTGCTATCCCTCACATTCTACCTGAAAAGAAAATTAAACAAATAAAAGGAATGAAAAAGTGAACAAGAGCATAAAAGGAAAGACGCTAGTGGCACGTAGTACGCACCTTTTACAGGGTTGCCACAGTCGGGGAATACCAGGAAAACCGGAAAATGTAAGGGAATTTTAAAAAGTCGGGGAAAATCGGAAAATGTCAGGGATAATCTGTTTATTCACCCTCATTTGCTTTCTAAAATGGGTTTGAGGTTTCGAACAAGAAATTTTGCCTGAAAACTATTTTTAATTATGTCTTCTTAACCATCCGTTATAAATCTTCAATTGTCGGGAAATCTTACGAAAATGTGTCAAGGAAATCAGGAAAATATCAGGGAATTTCATTTTTCAAATTCTGTGGCAACCCTGCTTTTACCATTTTGTTTATTTGTGTCCGAAAAGTGCATTTTGAACAATCGTCTACACTTCCATCATCTCCTATATTTCAATCGTAAATATTGATCGTCCTCACCATTTCCTAAAACTGGAATAAAATTTTATAATAAATAAATAAATAAAACTATTTTTCATAGAGCCAGATCCCGGAAAATTGAACATTTTCACGCAGTTAATTATTTTAGACTATAGGAGGCTCATATTCTCAATTAATATGGTTTCATTCAAAGAGAGAAAAAGAGAAATGATGCGGACGCTTTTAAAACTGAAAAGGAACCATAATGTCGCGCGTGCTAAGGAAGAACGCCGTACGAACATTCGAGAGTTGCGAAATTTTCTTCGATAAAGTGTTTATTTTTGAATAAAGCTAAGCATATTTTCCCTTGACATTTTCAGGAACTTTAGGTGAACTTGCGAACAAAATTATCCGAAAAATGGGAAGAAACTATTACTTTTCTAAAAATTTCGTGATTTACTTTATACTGGAAAAAAAAACACATTGGATCTAGAGTCCAGACTCTTAGTAACATCGACAAGAAAAAGTACTCTTGATTCAATCAGAATCTAGCTTAAATCATGAACCAAGCCTCTTAATTTAAACGGATTTCGTTTTGATTCAAACAGAAATCCTATTGAATCAAGAGTGTTTTTTCTTGTCAATGTTGTCAAGAGTCTAGACTCTAGATCCAATGTGTTATTTTTCCCAGTGTATAGGGAATTTGGCGGCGCTTGGAGGCTCATACGGCGTTCTTCCTCTGCACGGGAGCATAGCGCAAGTGGGCAATTGGGTTGCCCGCGCTGGAAAATGAAGAGAGATTTGCGATACTGCACCCGAGCCGCAACCTAGGCCGCGGGGAATGAATGGGAATGGGTTTAAGAATAATACGGAATCGTTCGAAGTGGGCGTCACACAATGAGCAATTAACGGAAGCCGCGCTCGACTTTGCGGCCCCGTTACGCACACGCCATGCCGCACAGCGGGCTGATTATTCATATTCTTAGACAAAGCGATAGACAAAGAAAACAAAGGGAAAATTTAACCAGCCTATCGGTTGAAACGGGTGGTTCCTAGCAGCCAAACCATAGAAGGAAAAGATAAAGATTATGTGCGAAAGTTAATTTTTTTTATTTAACACATGTATACGAAAGTGTTAAAAGTGAACATTTTTATGTAACCATTATATAAAAAAAGTCATAATTTTCGTGA